CATGATATACGTATCGGAAGATCAACATTGCTACCGGATTCATTCTTTCAGGTAACTTGAGCCGCGGCGGAAACAAAATAATACAAACAAATAAAAAACAAACGTGTTTCAGAAGGGGGACGTTTTTTTGTTTAAAACTGGGGGGTGGTGCATGCCTACTGTGAGAACCGCATCGAGTGAAGAACATCGCAAGCGCTGTTATTTTTGGGAATTTGATTCGCAAAAAAAAAATAGTTTTGTGATTTTGTTTGGCTATTGCTATTGTCGCTCAAAAATGAAAAAAATATGTGCGTTTTTGTGCATTGTGGGCGCGGGGCTACGGCCGCCAGAAGCACAGCGGGTGAAAGCTAGAAGCTGTTGTTTTATTTTCGTAAGGAATTTGTTTCATGGAGTACGCGCGCCATGAGTGAGCCGCTGCAAAAGGAATCCCTGTGTAAGGCCGCCACAAAAGGAATCCTTCTGTAAGGCCGCCATAAAAAAGGAATCCCTTTGTATGCTAGCTATATTTTTTTTTGGGGACAGCAACGGGAAACCAGGAAAACAATGGCAAAAACAATGAAAACAACGGGAATACAGCGAAAAAAAAATGAAAAACAGAAAAAGGAATATGAAAACACAACAAAATACAATGAAAACCAAAGACAACTTATGAAAACACAGCAGAAAGCAGTGAGCACGTACAAAAAATTGTGTGTGTCAAGGTTTCCTGTTGGTTTCTCTATTTTTTATGTTGTCATATGTTTTCTTTGGTTGCCATTGTTTGTTTTACTTTGCTTTCGCAGTCCTTTCATGTGTTCCTTGTTTTTTCGTTGTGTGTTCCTTGTTCTCTCTTTTTTTTGTTTTATTTAAAAAAAAAAATCCGCTGAGAGGAATCCTTCTGACATTTTGCAAGGCTGCAGATCATTGTTCGGAGGCCAGCAGCGGAAAACGAAGAAAACAAGAACAGCAAGGAAAACACGGAAAACACAGCGAAAAACAAGGACAAACACAAAAACCCTGAAAACAACCACACAAAAAACACACACACATTGAAAACCAAAGAAACATATAAAAACACAGCAACAATTAAATAAACAAACGGGACACCTGTGAAAACGCAAATTTTCATACGCGTTCATTGCTTTCTGTTGTGTTTTCAAGCCGGATCAGACCATATTTGATCATGCCACCACATCAGACCAGACCAGTCCAAACCCGAACAAACTGATCCAGATCAGACCTGAACGCGAGCCGCAGAATCTCCGGCGAAACATGATTACGAGCACGACTCTGTGATAGATTTCTCCCGCGGGCTCGCCCGCCTGAGTGTCGGCGCCGTAACATTATGGACCTGAGTCGATTCGAAAGCGCCGTATGATGGGGCCCCCGAGCTCCAGAATCTCCAGAACAACTATTCCCAGGGCGACCCTTTCATAATCTTTTCCCGCGGGCTCACCCAGCCGCTTCTCCATGCCAGAGCAAAAACTACATCAATCGATTTGTCGCGACCCCTGTGTCGAAATCGCAAAACCCAGAATCGTTAAGAAAAACTATTACGAAAACGACATTTGCATTATCTCCCCTTTCCGCGGGCTCGCCCGCCAGACTTGTTTGCACCGAATTCAAATTGAATTGCTCTCGTTTGCCTAGTGTGCACATGGCGACAGCGCACCACGGCAGGCGCTTGGGAGGCTTCTGCTCCCATTTGCAAATGGTCTTAAAGAATTTGGGAGACACGCGGTCGGCGAAGGTGGCCATCAGCCGCCCGTGTTTGTCGACGAAGTTTTTGTGCTCGCTCTCATCGTTCTGCTTCTGCCGCTCGAGCTTGTTGCATTCCTTTTTGGTCTCCTGGTGCTCGTTCTTGTACCAATAACCCCACTCCTCATACTCCTTGTTCTTCTTTTCTAATTCTGTGATGCGCTTATCCTTCTTTTTCCCTGCTGCTTCCATTTGCTTGATTGTGGAATTCGCCGTCTGCAGGTCGCGCATCAGCTTGTTGCACTTGCGTGTCTTGGCGTCTAGCTTCGTCTGTGTGAACTTCAGGTGAGTATCAACCAAGAACTTGACAACGGGCTTTTTGTTGTACTTCTCCTGAGGATGTGTAAATGTAGTTTTCTTAACAATAGATTTCAAAATGTTACCTCTTATCCCAAATGCCCCGAAACAGAAACACTACAACGAAGCACAATTAATATACAGGTTTTTGTTTCCAATGTGTCCTGCTTGGCTTTCTCCTTGTACCCCCGGTTGCGGATTATCTTCTTGTTGTACGCGTCCGAACCGTACTCTGGAACCCCCATGCTGTCAGTTCAATGGGAGGGGGGGTACCGGAGCTGCGCACCTGAGCCGCAACAGCAGCAGTACTGTAATGGATCGGATCGGAAACACTGCGTGGTCTGCACACGCTCCAGTTCAACCGAATTTAGAAATTGAGGGAGTGACAATCAGAAGGGCGAGGATGATGGGGATGAGGACGATGCAAAAGCATGATAAGGATACCTGAGAAAAAACTGAACCGTCAGAATGTGGAGAGGATGAGGCCGCCGAGAGTGAGAAAAAATGGAGGACAAGGAAGATACTGACCTTGGAAAGGCTGAGGATGACGAGGATGATAACGATACCGAGCACGATTACGATGCAGAGCCCAATGGACATGCATTTGAAAAGAAAGAGGGAGATGGATGATGAGGAAAATTGGTATGAATAGACAAAAACCACCATTGCCATGAACGCGAGTCAGAAAACATCGGCGGCATCAGAGCCGACCAAACGAGTTTGCTTGTAGGTAGATCTTAGTGGGGGGGGCTAGCAAATAAATACACACAAATAAAAAGATTCCCATATTTCCCATATTTTCTGTGTTTTGGCCTTCCCCCCCAATTCCAATAGTTTCCCATATTCTCTTGGAATTCGTCGATTCATTGTGTCTGTGTGTTCTTTCCCCTCCTGAGACTCGAGGCATCTGGGGCCTCTCCTGGGGACCTCTCAGGGGGTCCTCCCTTGGAGGCTCGCGTGCCCGCGCGGCACGACTCGTTGGGAGCTCCGGGGGCCGAGGCGACGGGGCCCGCAAGGCCCTTCGAGCACCCCGCTCTCGCCATCGCTCGGACGTCCATTCCCTGTGTTTTTTTGTCGGTTTCGTGCGTGGCTTTTTCGCCAAATGATCAAGGATGCTCCTCGATGGTCCTCGCCGATGCACACGTCCGAGCGATGCCAAGCGATCGCGCACCGAGCCAGCGGATGGGCTCAGGGCGGGCGGACTGGGACTGGAACCGAATTTTCTGTGCGACGGCCTTGCGAAGATCTCCCCTGGCAAAACAGTCTTACATGAGGATTTATGTTTGCGGCGGCCTTGCAAAAAGGTGTTTGTTGTTCGTGGTGGCCTTGTAGACGAGTTTCAATTTGTGACGGCCTTGCAAAACGGATTCCTGTTGTGGCGGCCTTACAAACAATGATTTCCTTTTGTGAGTGACACGGAAAGAACCAAAGGAGTCAATGCAAACACTTAAAACGTAGAGAACGCAATAACCGCGTAAACAATAGCCCGGCGAAGGACCCAACCTTCTGCAGTTGTGAGTGCCGCAATGTGGGTACTGCTTTCGGTGGAGCTGTCTACGGGGCCACGAAACGTGCAAGCAGTGCGCCGAGATCGGTGGCGCGAACGCATGTGGACACCGCCACTGGGGCCTTCGGTGGAGTTCGCCATGGAGCCACGTAACGTTGTCCTGGGTGGGGTTGACGCATCCGCATGCGAACTGCGCGATTGGGACCTTCGTTGGAGGTCCTCATGGGGCCACGAAGCGCTGTCCTGGGTGGGGGAGGCGCATGCGAAAGGCTCCATTGGGACATTCGGTGGAGCTCCCTATGGGGCCACGAAGCGCTGTCCTGGGTGGCGTTGACGCATGCGGACCCTGCCACTGGGACCTTCGGTGGGGCTCCCTATGGGGCCAGGAAGCGTTGACCTAGGTGGGGGAAACGCATGCGAACGGCGCAACTGGGTCCTACGGTGGAGCTCCCTGTGGGGCCACGAAACGTTGTCCTGGGTAGAGTAGACGCATGCGAACGGTGCCACTGGGGCCTTCGGTGGAGCTCCCTATGGGGCCACGAAACGTTGTCCTGGGTAGAGTAGACGCATGCGAACGGTGCCACTGGGGCCTTCGGTGGAGCTCCCTATGGGGCCACGAAGCGCTGTCCTGTGTGGCGTTAACGCGTGGGTCAGAATCCCTGAGGACTCTGACCCACGTCAGCGTCAGCGTCAGCGTCGTCGCCATCGTCGTCGTCCCCCTTCAGGGTCGACGGAACCAGCCGTAAGGCCTTCGCAATATGATCAAGAAAATCATCCTTTGAGAAGTCTGGGCCAGCTTCCCAGAAGTTTCTCAAATCCAACCTGGGCCAATGTCTGCCGCTGACGCTGGAGGGGCAAGCGTGCTCAGGAAACCGGTCTGGCTCCCCGGCAAATTGGCAAAGAAACGCTGGCCCAGCATTTCGGGCGGATGCTTCTTGATCAGACGCTCGACTGCAGTATGGACGAGGTAGGGCTCCAGTTTCGTCTCCCACATCGCGCTGAGCAGTACCACGGCTCGCTGCCAATGAGCGCCCTTCTCGCACGCTCTGATCCCAGCGGGCGAACCTGCTCGTGAGCATCCACGGCATGCATCTGGATCCCAATTCTTGATCAAGGTGGGTCTATGCTTGGGCGTGTCCCGCGATCAGACTTAGGAGGCCATGGAACTCACCGAACACTAGCACTCGCACTTTGCACTCAGGTGGGGGGACTGAGGACTTCGGGGACGAGCACAAGGAGGAACACCAAGGGCTCCTGCAGGGGAACCCATTCCCACATCTCGCCGAGCAGCGCTAATGTCCGCTGTCGCCCTTATCGATCTTTCTCGCACGCGCTGTTCCCAACATGTTAGCTGGCTTGTGTCATATGACAGCCTGAACGCATGCTGAACGAAGACACTGCCTGCTGCCATTCTCCGCGTTGCTCGCATACACTGCCTGCAGCAACTGTTGATAATTAGCTACGTCCCGAAAGCCGCTTTAAAAGACTCGCCAAGCAACCATGCCGCCTGCTGCCACTGCCCGTCTTTCTCGCACGCGTTGATACCAGCGCCGTAGCTGATCGGGTCGGGCACCAACGTCACCTCCCTCATCTCGCTGAGCAGTGCCAGTGCTCGCTCCCACTGCCCGCCTTTCTCGCACGCGTTGATCCCAGCGCTGTAGCTGATGACTTCGGGCTCTAGCAGCGTCGCCTCCCTCATTTCGCTGAGCAGTGACACTGCTCGCTGCCACTGCCCGCCTTTATCGCACGCGCTGATCCCAGCGACGTAGCTGACTACAGTGACCCCGTTGACTAAATCCACGGTGTGCTGAACCTGGAACCTGTGGGGCTTCGAAGCCGAACTGCTCGTGGAGCTCCTGGAGAAGACGGGGGAGAGAAAAACGATATGCGCCTGAAAGCGACGCGCCAGCGACTCTGTGGAGTAGGGAACACGGTGGATTTCTGTCATGACGGCCTGCGCTGCTGCTCTTGACACCACGCGAAACGCCAAACCCTGCACGATCGACAGCCTTGATATCGCGAGATCCTTCAAAGCCAGCCAATTCTGGACCGGCGTCGGCGTTGAGCCCTTGATGCGACGTGCTGAGGTCGCCGCCGCGTCGACGCGGCGCAAATCTGCGCACCCGAGCTGTCCCGCTGCTCGGTGAAGGGGCCACAGCCCTCGTTCTCAGGCGGCGCGAGACGGGGGAAGGCGGCGGATGTGAGGAACAGCGCGAGGAGGAGGAGGAGGAGGAGGAGGAGGAGGAGGAGGAGGATGAGGAGGAGGAGGAGGAGGAGGAGGAGGAGGGGGAGGAGGCGGAGAAGGGAGAAGGAGGAGGAGGCGGAGGAGGCGGAGGAGGAGGAGGCGGAGGAGGAGGAGGCGGAGGAGGAGGAGGAGGCGGAGGAGGAGGAGGGAGCGCTCTAGGAAGCGCGAAAGGGTGCGCTCCCTCTGCCTCGGGCGCGGCCCAGCCGGCCCCGCGCGTGGCCGGCGCTCCCAGGACGACCGGCCCGCTCTGGGGGCCGGCCTCCGGCGGCGTGCGTGCGTCGTGCAGCGAGGCGAGGAGGCCGCCACGGGAGCGCTGGTCCGCCGGGGGGGGGGAGCGCGGCCGTGCCTGGGCCGCGTGCCGTCGGGCTGTGAGCGGGGCGCCCCAGCCCTCCACCATGGCTGGGCACCAGTGCTCCCCCCTGCCGCTCTTGCTAGGGCGCATGCTCTGCACACGGTCCTGCATCGCCTCCCCGACGTGCGGGGCCTCCTGGGGGCCTGGCTGGGGGGGGCCTCAGGGGCCACTCTTGGTATATGTTGGGCGTCTCTGGGGCCGTGTCGGGGGCATGTCGGACCCTCCTGCGAGCCCGTCTGGGGCGTCTTGAAGGCCTCTTGTGATATTGGGGGCGCTTGTTGGGCCATTCCCGGGCTGTCCCCAGAGCCCCTTCTGGGGGACAGCCCGGGAAACTTCTTGTAGACTCGCCTTGGGGCCGTCCTGGAGCGTCCTTGGGGCTCCGAAGGGCTCTATGGGGACTCTCTTGGGGCCTTCTTGGAGGAAACTTGGGGCTCTCTGGGACCGTCTTGGGGCGCCCTGGAACCACCTTGGGGCCCTTTTGGGCCGTCGAAGGCCCCTCTTGGGAGTCTCTTGGGCATCTCTGGCGCGATGTAGGAGGCGCTAGGGGCCGTCTGGAGCGGTTCTTGGGGCGAAGTGGGGAGAACCCGGAAATCGTTCAAACACATGAGGGAGACCTACTATTTTGGCCTCGTGGGGCAAGCCTCGGGATCCGCTTGGGCCGTCTTGGGGGGCCTCCTGGCGTGTCGTGGGGCCGTCTTGGGCCTATGGAGGCTCGCTGCGGGCTCTCGGGTGTCTGGTGCCTTCTTGGCGCTCTCTGGAGCGTCTCTGACCCGCTGTTGGATGTCTTGGGGCCTTCTGGCGGCCGTCCAGGGCCGTCCAGGACCGCCCCAGGAGCGCCGGGAGCCGCTCCAGACCGAGGTGCGGCAACGAAATCTCGCGCGCGCGGATCCCAATATTATAGTGTAGATGATGTCGGGCTCCAACCTCTCCTCCCTCATCTCGCCGAGCAAGGACAGTGCTCGCTGCCACTGCCCCCCCTTCTCGCACGCGCTGACCCCAGCATTGTAACAGATGGCATTCGGCTCCCAATGCCCCTCCTGGATCTCGCTGAGCAGCGCCAGGGCCTGCTGCCACTGCCCCCGTTTCTGGCACGCGCTGATCGCAGCGCCGTAGCTGACTAGGGCGAACCCGTGGACTTCGCCCACGACCAGCAGGTCCCCCTGGCGGGCCTCCACGGTGGGCCCCCGCCCAGGAAAAAAGCCACCCCGAAGCCTTCGGTGACTTTTTTCTGGCCGCCATTCCGAAGTGGAAGGCGGGCGCTTCCTCCGCTTCGTCCGCCCTCCGCTCCACGTCCGCCTGGACAGCCTTCGGAGCATCACAGACGGCCATGGTGGGTCTGCGGTGTGCTTCCCGCCGCTTGTCTGCTCCCCCTGGCTTGAACCATTTTGCGAGCACCTGGGGCCGAGAATCAAGTCACCCGAAGGGCTCTGGTGACTTTTTTCCGGTTGACTTTTCGAGGCCTGATGGCGGGCGCTGCCTTCTGCTTGGGAACTGTTTTGGGGGCCTCTCGGGGTTCCTTTTCGGCCTCCTGGGGGTCTCGTGGGGCCCTTTTGGGCCGTCTTGCGGCCTCCTGGGGTCCTCTTGGGGCCCTCTTGGGCCGCCTTGGGTGCCTCTCGGGGCCGTCTGGGGCCGTCTGGGGGCCGTCTAGAGGCCCTCTGGGGCTTTGTACTTCACCGATCGCTCTTTTAATGGGGGTCTCTGGGCCTGCTTGGTGGTCCTTGTGGGGGTCTTTTTCAGGCCATTATGGAGCTTTTTTGGGATGCCCTGGGAGCGTTTTGTGACGTCTTGGGGCCATTTTGGGCCGTCACGGGGCGTCCGGGAGGCCTTGGACCGTCTTGGAGCTCTCTTGAGGCTGCCTGAGGCCGTCTTGGGAGCCTCTTGGGGCCCCCTCGGAGCTCTCTTGGAGCCGTCTCGGGGTTCTGCGAGGCCGTTTCAGGGCTCTCTGGCGTCGTCTTGGGGCTCTTGTGGGCCGTCTTGGAGTCCTCTTAGGGGCCGCTGGCGTCTTCTTGGGGCGATTTGGGAGGCCTCTTAGCATGTCCTGGGCCGCTGAGGAGCACACAAGGCGGGCATGCAGAAAAAATACGCTTCCGATCGGAATTGGACGATTTGTACCTCTTTGGCGTGCGCTCGGGGCCCTCTTGGGGCGTCTTTGCGGCTCCTTGGGTCGTCGTGGAGCCCCCCCCAGAAGGCTTCGGGCCCTCGTGGGCCGTCTCGGGACCCACTGAGGCCGTCTTGGAGCGCTCTTGGACGGTCTGGGAACCCCTCTGGAGCGCCTCTGGGACTGGCCTGAGCGATTCGGCCCTGGGCTTCTCGCACGCGCTTCCACCGGCCATGTAGGAGAGACTAGAGGGAGCCCGTGGGTGAAACGCATGGCAGGCAAGCAAATGTCCAAGATGCCTGTCTGCGGGGGCAGGTACGGGGAGCCGGAGCGACGCACGAACAGAGCGACTCGGGGCCGCTCCGGGCCCGTCTTGGGACTTCCTGTGCCGTCCTGGGCCTCTCGGGGCAGTCTTGAGCGGTCGGGGAGCCATTTCGGGATCTTCTTGAAACAGCCTGGGCCCATCTGAACCCGTCTCGGACCATCCGGGCGGGGAGGTCAATCGCAATTCGAGCCAAAGAACTTTTCAGTGACTCGGCCTCTCGGGGGTCCCTTGGAGAAAATGCCGGTTCCGTCGTTGTGACCTCTTGGGGAGCATGCCAGGGGCATGTTGGAGTATCGGGCCCGCCTTGGCGGGTGATGGGGCCATCGAGGGTCGGTCTGGGAACAACTCTGGACGCGGCTGAGTCTCTTGGGAATGCTTCAGGAAGGAATTCTGGGGCATTCTGGTCAAAATATTAGAACAGCTCGCGCATCACTGACCCTTCTAGAAATGTTCGCGGGGCGGCATTGGGTGTATCTTGGGGCTCCATGAGGCCGATCAGGCTTTATTGGACCGTGTTGGGGCGGTCAATGGGCGGTCATGGGGCTGCATCATAACTGTCTTGGGCCATGTTGGGCACACGTGGGCCCGTCGTGCAGAAGATGAGGGGCCAGGAGGGCGAGGAGACGATGAACACCAACCAACTCTCGTGTGGCTCTCCTTCGGGCATCCCAGGCTTCCCTGGGGCCTTCACCTTGGCCGTCTGGGGGCCTCTTGGGGGCTTCTTGGGCGGTCTGTGGGGCCTTCTGGGCCCTCATGGAGGCCTGCCATGGTCTTGCGGAGACGATCGATGAGAAGAGGCCGTGGGGAGTGCATTATTGAAAACACGACGCTTGATCTGTTTTTCCTCTCTTCTCTATGGGGGGAAAGACTGGGGACCTCCTGGGGCCCTCTGGAGCGATATTGAGGACCTTGGGCTTCCTGGCGGCCCTCGGTGACAATGTTGGGTTCTGGGGGGTCTCCTCGGAAACTTTTTGGGCCATCTTGGGGTTGTCAGGGGAGTCTTGCAATGGGACAGCATGCAGCCCCAGGGGAAGTGCTGCTCCACGGAATCGCGAAAATCGCCACGCACACTGTCCTGGTGTTATATGACGGATTGCATCAGTCCCGCTATAACTAAGCTGCGAAACTCGCTTGTTAACGACTGCGCCAGAATCGTTTGTCCGCCATGTTCGCACATGCTGGCTACAACTCCCTGAGTAAAAACAAAACCTTCTGTCATTGCTCGCCGTTCTGATACGCGTTGATCACATCGTTATAGCTGACCGGGCCGTGGACTGTACTCCACAGAAGTTTTCGCCAGGGCCAAGCCCGAAGAAACGTGGACGCCCACGGTTTCACGGGCGGCTTGGCTGGGAAGCGTGCGTTTTGCCCAAGGCGGCATGCCCAGAAAGCAGATTGTCGGCTCCCATTTGACGCTTCTGCTCGACGCCACGAGCGCCGGAATCGTTTGACAACTGTGCCTGTGCTTCCTGGGTGGGCGGCTCGCCGGGGGAGGGCTCTTTCGATCTGCTGGAGAGCGTGCGATCGACCCGTCCTCTGGGCGAAGAGGAGGAAGAGGAGGGGGGGAGGAGGGGGACGAAGAGGAGGAGGAGGAGGAGGAGGTGGAGGAGGCGGAGGAGGAGGAGGTGGAGGAGGAGGCGGAGGAGGGGGAAGAGGAGTTGGAGGAGGAGGCGGAGGAGGAGGAAGAGGAGTTGGAGGAGGCGGAGGAAGAGGAGTTGGAGGAGGAGCCGCCGGGAACGCTTGGAGACTGACGCCGTTTTCTCCCCGGGCGGCCGGGCGGCGGAGATGTCCTCTCGCATCCCGACATAGGCCTCGGCCCGCGCCGGTGCGATCGCCAGCGCGCCGCGACAACAGAAACAACCAGGAAGGGGCCCTGGGACACACAAATAAATACACACAAATAACAGGATTCCCTACATTTTCCCATATTTTCTGGGTTTTTGTCTTCCCCCCTCCCACTTCCCATATTTCTCCATATTTTCATTGGGATCGACGATGAATTGTGTCTGTGTGCTTTTTCTCCTCCTGAAACTACCTGGGGAGATGTGTTGTTTTGCGGGTCCGCCCGGGAAGCGGTGTCTCCCGGGCGGACCGCCTCGAAAACGGTGGGTCGTCTCCGACGCTTGACGTCACCGATCGCCTCGTTTACTCGGCGTTTCGACATGGGGCGGACAGGGGGGGAGGGGCACGGGTCTGGCTCCGGACCTCTGCTTAGTGCAGCTGTTTGCTGCAGTACGTCCTATGGGGGAGACTCCACCTGCTCGAAAGAGGAGCCCCCAAAACAAGATCTACTCCATAGGGGGGGGGGAGGGGGGGTGCGAAGGCCCGCGCTGATCGGCAAAACAATGAATGACTAAGAAAACCACAACCTCTTTGAAGCCTTCTTGGGCCGTCTGTCGGGCCCTGACCGGGCTCTCGCGGGCCTCTCCGCGCCATCATGGGGCTCCTTGTAGGGCCTCGCAGAGGCCCCTCTGGGAGATCTCGGGTGCGTCTGAGTGCGTCGTGGGGCCAGGTCTTGAGCCCTCCTGGGGCCATATGACGTCGTCTGGGAGGCCGCCAAGACCATCTTGGACCATATGAGGGGGCATCTTGAGCCCTCCTGCGAGCGCTTGTGGGTCTGTTGGGCTCTCTTGGCTCCCATCGAAGCTTCTGGGGCCACTCCTGCAGCAATCTCGGGCCTGAAGCGTGCAGAATACCTCTTGGGCCGTCTGGGCCGTGCTGTTGACGGGTTCTGGCCGTTGGCTCTCAGGGGACTCCACTGAGCATTCTGGGGACGCCTTAAAAGCGTGCCAGGGCCTGCCAGGCCGAATGCTTGATCACTTGATGATGCCGCCTTTCCAGCACGTGTTGCTAGGGAGCCCGCAAAGGACGTACGCGCCCAGCTATGTACATGAACACGGCCCCTCGATTCGCGAGACCGGCCGCGTTATACGAACATTTGTGCAATGCGTGCTCTCGAAACCAGCGTGGATTCATGTACATGTACGTCCTTCTTTCGCTCCTGATTGCGGCCGACATTGTAGGAGAGGCCCGTGTGCACCCGTGGAGTAGATGCACGGCGTGCCGAACCTGGAACTCGCACCCTGTGGATGCGATCAGCAGAGCCGCTCGCCAGAACCGAGCAGCTCGTTGAAACTCCAGGGCTCCAGCGCGCGCCCAGGAGGGTCCCCAATTCCTCCAGACTCCTCAATTCTGAACTCTGCAAACTACCAAAAAAAACGCCCTGGGCGTTTTTTAATAACCACTAAACAATTCACCAAAACCTTAACAGAGCAGCGTGTCCCACCAGAAAGCGGTTTCTGTGGAATGTCTGTCATTTCGGATGCCCTTCTGTGCCCCCTCTCGGGGTTCCCTGGGCTGTCTTGGAGCCGTCTTCGGTTCTCCTGCGTGCTCCCTGCGAGCCTCTCCAGTGCTCCTCCGGTGCTCCGAGACGACGAACAGAACAACACATGCAACCAGGAAGCAGATTCTGTCGCAATTCTGTCGATCTTCAAGCCTTCTCGGGAAACTCCGGAGCCCCCATGAAAGCTCCCTGCGAACCTCTCCCGCGCTGGAAGACGCGCCCAAAATGTCCCCCAAATCAAAAAAGAGAAATTGAACAGAACAGCACGTCGAGTCCAGACACGGTTTCTGTTCACGTTCTGTTCTATTGCATCCCCTCTCGGAATCCTCTTCGGGGCTCCCTGGGGGCCTGTCTGGGGGCTCTCTTGGACGTCTGGAGGTTCCCTTGGGCCGTCTTGGGGCGCTCTTGGGCCCTCTTGGGGCTCTCTTCGATGCTTCTCGGGCCTTTGCTGGCACGATCTGGGAGGGCCCTGCAGCCGTCTGAGGCTCTCCTGGGCCTGATAGCAGGATAACCTGGAGGCGCATGACCTTGAACTCGCCGGGCGGATGTCGGGGGCCTCTGAGGGCCGTCTTGGGCACCTCCCGGCTCGTTCGGGGGCCGACGTGGGCGGCGCTGGGGCTCGCTTGGGCCGTCGGCCGTCGGGGCGCCCTCTTTGAACGGGCGAAGAACGGTATAAAATAATCTGTTTCGCTGTCGGGGGCGCCTGTCCCTGGGCGGCTGGAAAGTTTATACCCCTACGGTGGCACCGTAGGGGTGTAAACTTTCCAGCCGCCCAGGGACAGGCGCCCCCGACAGCGAAAAAGTTTCTTTTATACCGTTCCTCGCTCGCTGACTCCTGAGCGGCTCTGAGCCGTCTTGGACCGTCTCGGGGCCTTCTGGCGGCCGTCCAGGGCCGCCCCGGGAGCGCCAGCTGCCGTCTGGGTAGGGCCGCCCTGGGAGTCCCGGGAGCGCCGGGGGCCGCCCCGGGCCAGATTCCGCCACTGCCACTTCGCACGCCGCGCTGATCCCGGCATATTGCAGGATAGATGGGGTTGGGCTCCGTTTTTGTTTCCCGCATCTCGCTCAGCAGCGCCAGGGCCCGCTGCCACTGCCCGCTCTTTCCGCAAGCGCTGACCCCAGCGCTGTAGCTGATGACGGCGAGCTCCATCCTCGCCTCCCGCATCTCGCCGAGCAATGCCAGAGCCCGCTGCCACTGCAGGCCTTTCTCGCACGCGCTGACCCCAGCGTTGTAGCCGACTAGGAGCTGCCCCCGTGGGCTCCGTCCACGCCGTCCTGCCGAAGAGGGCCTTGCCTGTCCAGCGCCCCTTGCGGCGTGCGGTCGTCGTTTTGCGCGGTGGGTGGCGGGCAGGAGCGGTCCTCGTCCCCCTCAGCCTCGTCCTCCTCGTCCGCTCCCTCTTCTCACTCCTCAGTCTCGCCCTCTCCTTTCCCATGACATCCCTCCTCTCTCTCGTCAATGCGCTCTCTTGTTTCTCCCCCCTCTCCTTCCTCGGAAACGTTCTCATCGGTCTCATTCCCTCCCTCCTCTCCCGCTTCATCCAGCCCCTGATCTCCTTCCTCGAACACTGCCGCAGCGCAAGCTCACTGGCGGGGTAAAACTACCCTGTCACACAACGGCGTCTGCCAGACTCATGTTCCGCATGGGCGGGTGACGAATCCGACACATTGGGGCTTTCGCGTCTCAATGATAAAAAGTGGCGGCGCCGAAAGGCCAAGCAACAATGTCGCAGTGTGCGCTTGGCTGCCACGAGCCACATATCCCTGTGGCAACTTGTCGGCCTCATCTTGCACCGCCGACGCGTAAGCCGAGCCTTCTTCTTCCTCCTCCTCCTCCTCCTCCTCCTCCTCCTCCTCCTCTGCTGCTCCCCCTCCTCCTCCCCCTACGCCTCGTCTTCCTCGTTCTCATGCCCATTGCCCTTCCTCTCGCTCCTCGCCTTCCTGCTCCTCCTCCTCCTCCTCCCCCCCTTCACCTCCTTATCCTGTTCCTCCCCATCGTCCTCATCCCAACTCATCCTCACCCTCTCCCTCCTCATGTTCGCACGCGGGGGTCTGCATACTGCCAGGAAGAGGAAAAAGGGGGGAGGGAAAGGGCCTCCACGTTTGCGACGCCGTTCTCCGAAGCGTCGTGCTCGAGGTCATTGCTGTATGCTGCTCTTCGTCGTCGTCGGCCTTGCGGCTGGGAGACGAAGAACCTGGTTCAGGGGCTTGCGGGACATCCCACAGGAGATGCCGCGGACGACGATCTCATCTGTCTGGAAGATGGCTTCAGAGGCCATCCCAGACGGAACTTCTCTTTCCGGCTGTAAAAAGTCTGACGGCTAGAAACAACTCTTGGAAGAAGGTTCGCCCCGGAAACCTTCGAAGATGGGAGATTTTTCCGGCCGTGAGAAATCTTACGGCCGGAAAGCAACACCAGAAGATAGGTACGCTCTGGCCGTCCCCCCTCTGTCGCAAGACCTTCGTCTCCCAGCCGTAAGGCCGACGACGTTGGGCGACTCTCGTGCTGCCTTGGGGCCGTCTTGGGCCGTGCTGGTCCGCTCTTAGAGCCCTCTTCGGCTCCGCATGGGCTGTCTTGGGGGCCTGTTCGGCCGTCCTGGGTCGGTCTGGAACGGTCTTGCAGCCATGGAGGGGCCCTGTGTTACTCTTAGGGCCGTGAATGGGCGAACGGTCCATGGCAAGCGGGAAGACCCGCGCCGGTACGGAAACGGAGAGACTGCTTCAGGAACTTGCCCGAGATGGCTCGTGGCACTCTTCGCTCTTGGGAACCTTGGTGTAAAAGGCTGGTTGCGTCACCGCTCGTTATTGGAAGCTGTGGCTTTCAGAGTTTTTGACGTTGCGGCTCGCTCTCGGGGGCCTCGGGTTGAAGAGCTTATTGTGTCACCGCTTGCTCTTGGGAGCCTTGGATCGAAGAGCTTTTTACTGTACGGATCGCTCTTTTATTTGGTGTCTGTGCGCCTTCTCAGTAGTCTTTGTGGGTGACTTTTTGGGGCCCTTCAGGGGCCCTTTTGGGCCGTTCTGTGGCCGTTTTGGGGCCCGTTTGGGCCGTCACGGGGCGTCTTGGAGGCCTTGGACCGTCTAGGGGCTCTCTGGAGGGTTTCCTGGGGCCCTCCTGGGAACCTCTTCGGGCCCTCTTGGAACCCTCTTGGAGCCGTCGTGGGGCCCTCTCAGGCCGTTTGAAGGCCCCCTTGGGCCGTCTTTGGGCCCTCTTGCACTGTCTTGGGGCCCTCTTGGGGGCCGTTTTAGGGGGCCTCTGGCCTGTCCTGGACCGTGTAACGACGCAACAAGCGGATATGCTGAACATGTACGTTTTCCCATAATACTGTGACGATGTTTGCCTCTGTGGCGTCCTCTCGGGGCCCTCTCGGAGCGTCTTTGGGGCCTCTTAGACCGTCTTGGAACCACCTTCTGAAATCTTTGGGGCGTCTTGGAGGCCTTGGACCGTCTTGGGGCTTCTGGAGGGCTTCCTGGGGCCCTCTCGGGAGCCTCTTCGGGCCCTCTTGGAGCTCTCTCAGGCCGTTTGAAGGCCCTCTTGGACCGTCTTGGGGCCCTCTTGGGGGCCGCTTGGGTCGTGTTCGGGGGGCTGTTGGCCTGTCCTGGACCGTGTAACAACGCAACAAGCGGATATGCTGAACATGTACGTTTTCCCATAATACTGTGACGATGTTTGCCTCTGTGGCGTCCTCTCGGGGCCCTCTCGGAGCGTCTTTGGGGCCTCTTGGACCGTCTTCGAGCCACCTTCTGAAGTCTTTGGGGCGTCTTGAAGGCCTTGGACCGTCTTGGGACTTTCTGGAAGGCTTCCTGGGGCCCTCTTGGGAGCCTCTTCGAGCCCTCTTGGAGCCCTCTTGGAGCCGTCTTGGGGCCTTCTCAAGTTGTTTGAGGGCCCCCTTGGCTGGGCCGTCTGTGGGCCCTCTTGGACCGTCTTGGGGCCCTTTTGGGGGCCGCTCGGGTTATCGCGGGCGGATTTGGGGGGGCTCTTGGCCCGTCCTGGACCGCGTAACAACGCAGAAGGCGGATATGCTGAAACTGTACGTTCTCCCATAATACTGTGACGATGTCGCCCTTTTGGCGTCCTCTCGGGGGCCCTCTCGGAGCGTCTTTGGGGCCTCTTGGACCGTCTTCGAGCCACCTTCTGAAATCTTTGGGGCCTCGAGGCCCGTCTCGGGAACAACTGAAGCCGTCTTGGAGCGCTCTTGGACCGTCGTGCAACCCCGCTGGGGCGCCTCTTGGGCCCTCGTGGGCAATTCGACCACGTGGTGGGGCCGTAAAGGGGCGATTTTAGCCACTTGACCGCCTGCCCTTCTGGGACGCGCTTCCGCCCGCCATGTAGGAGAGATGACATTGGGTTCCAGCTTCGCCTCCCACATCTCGCTCAGCAACGCCAGGGCCCGCTGCCACTTCGCGCCCTTCTCGCACGCGCTGATCACAGCATTATAGCTGACTAGTGTGTACCCGTGGAGCAAGCCCGCAGGTGTCCTGGCAGGGGAACGCGGCGTGGCCATCTCTGGGCCATGTTGGGTCGTCTGAGGCGCCTCCTGGGCCGTCTTGAGGGTTTCCCTGAGCTGTCTTGACGCTCTCTCGGGCCGTCTTGCAGCCTTGCAGGAGGTTCTGCGAGCACTCGGAGGACCTCGAAAATTGCCCCAAGAGGGGCTCGAGAGGGCCCGAAGACGGCCCCAAGAGGGCCCCCAGAAAGCACCCGTCGGATTCTACAACAGGAGGGTGCGTTGTAGCGTTCGTTTGGGGGCATCGTCGGGCTCCTCTGTGGGAGCGATCTTGGGGCCATCTTGGGATGCTTGGGCTCCAGTGGGCCATCTCCGGGCCATCTTGGGTCGTCTTGGGCGCCTCTGAGGCGGTCTTGGAGCTCTCTTGGGCCGTCTTGGGGCCCTCTGGGCCGCCTTGGGATTCTTTTTGGAGGCCTCTTGGGCCAGCTTGGGGCGATCTTAGGGGCTGTTGGACTTTTGGAACCTCGTGGGCACTGCAAGGGCCACCAAATCTTATATGCTGAAACTGTGGTTTCAAACCTACAGGCAACATTTGATGTTGCACCAGAAGGCCCTGCTGGGAGTGCTCTTGGAGCGCCCTGAAAGCCTTTTGGAAGGCTTCTTCGGCCATCTAAAGGCCGTCTTGGGCCATCTTGGGGCCCTTTGAGGCCGCCTGGACGCCATCTCGGGCCATCTGAAAGCCATCCTCTGCAGTATTGAATACATCTTCGGCGAACTTGAAGGCCTCTTGGACTCGCGTGGAACGCGTTGGAGGCGCAGGCCCTTCCTGCGCCCCCGCTGGCTTTGCCACGATTGGCACGCTCCACGCGCTGCCCCCAATATTGCGGGACAGACTACGGCCAAGCCGGGGAAGCCGGGTGGACAAGCTGCCGAAAGGCTGACATGATGACGTGGGGCTCGAACTTCGCATTCCGCGCATGCTACTGCGTGATGCTGCTTGAGGCCGCTGCTGCGTACCGTTGGCGGTGCTTACCGACGATGCGTGCTGCTGCTGCTTGTAGCTGCAGGGTGCTGCTGATGGTCAATTCTGCTTTGTGCGCGCTGCTGCCCGCTGCCTGCTGCTACGTTCTGTTGCTGGGCGCTCCCGCTGCTGCTGCCCGCTTCGCAGTGCTGGCCTTTGGGCCGCCCCAGGATGATCTTGAGTCGCCCTGGAGCTGTATTTGACTACCTACCAGACCACCCCAACCCAACCCGAAGACCCGAATTTCGGGTTGGGGGGGGTAAGGGTTCCACATGTGTTTTGTCGATGTTTCCCGACCCCCCCCAACTGGAAATGAAGGGCAAATTGAGGCCTTCGGGTTGGGTTGGGGTGGTTTGGTGGGTGGTGAGTATTAGGGCCAAGGCTGGAAACTAAGACACATAACTATGTGGGCCCCATTTCCGAATGAAGTTCTCTGGTGGCCGTGGTCGCCCGAGGCAGTCGGAGGATGCGCGCG